GAGTGAGTGTGTGTGTGGTGTGTGTGTGAGTGTGTGTGTGAATGTGTGTGTGTGTGTGTGTGTGGAGTGTGTGTGAGTGAGTGTGTGTGTTCCCACTCACAGCTGAAGGACACAGCGCTCCCCCCCTCTCCCATCCCTCTCTCGGTCGTCCCGTTGGAGTTGACCGCCTGGATGGTGAACAGACTCTTCCTCCTCTTACAGCACGCCTTCTTCTTCCCTGGCTGCTCATTGGCTGGAGGGCTGGGAGAACACGCCTCCTCCTGCTTGTCTTCCTCTTTTTCTTCTTCTGTGGTCTCACATGGCTGCTGGGCTGGAGGCTCTGAGCTGCTGTCGGAGGTCTTGCTCTCTTCCTCGCAGGGTTTCTCTCCCTCAGTGTGGGGGGGGGGGTGTTAGTCTCAGAGCTGCAGCCGGGCTCACTCTGGTTCGGGGGTCCGTTAGTCTCCGAGTCGTCCTGGGCCGGGGGTGGCTGCGTGTGGTTGACAAGGGGGCGGGGCTCGGTGGTGGTGTCGTCTGATTGGCTGTTTGCCGGTGCATCACCAGAGCTGGGTTCTGTGGTTTGGGTCTGAGAGGGTCCGGCTTTCTCTCCGTCATCCTGCTCCTCCTCTGAAGAAACAGCACAGAACCAGTCAGACTGAAACTACACTGCAGATCAAACGCAGCTGATCAATCCAGTAGAAGCTAATTATTTCATTGTCGAAAAACTGTTAAATAAATAAAGAACATTCTTTATCTGAGGAGTTTAAAACTGACTGTCTGATTTGCTTTAGATCTACTCGAAGGAAATCGGAGGCTAATTGAATAAATCAAGGCTATCAAGGGAATTATTTGTAATGTGACTGATGAGATGCTTGAAATTAAAACCTTTCCAAACAGTCTACTATAAGTTTCTGTCCTTTTAAAAGGTCACCTATCATGCTATCTTTAGGCAATAGCATGGGTCTCAGATATATAAAGATATATAAAAAACATGTCTATAAAGTGTTTTGCTCAAAATACCAAACAGATCACCCATTCTAGCCTCATGTCCCTCTATTTCACTTCCTGTTTCTAAAGTGCTGATTTTGGTATAAAGCTTTAAAAATGGATTGATAAAATAGGAGGGGTCTGAGCTCACGCGGGACACGGCAGCTACTGTCTAAACTAAATGCTGCCGTGATGAAACGCCATATCATGGATTATCAAGGATTCTCTCTGAAACAGTCTGGAGCTCAAAGGCTTTCTCTCTTGCCGGTTATACCACAAGGTGAGTTCCTTTTTACTTCCTGCTTCTTCATACACATGCTCTCCAGTACAGGTTAGCTCTGAGTGTTAGCGATGCTAATGTAAACACCGACCATATTACATCCAAAACAGTCAGGCATTGTTTCTGATAGCAACGTTTCTGATTGGGCCGTGGGTCCACATTTCAGATATTACGTCATATCGGACGCAAATCTGGATCAGCTCCGTTGTTCCCCGTTTTTAGAGATGTGGGTACGGAGGAAAAGAGAGAGGGTTTTATTTTCTGACGCTGCGTGAGTTCCCTGACGAACCGGGGACACATGTTGATGTATAAAAGACATCAAAAAGTGCATTTTGCGTTATAGGTCCCCTTTAAAACGTGTGTTTACTGAACCTGATGGCATGCACGTTGTAATCTCTTATTTTGATAAGTGCAATTCATATAGGCATTATTTGTTATTGTTATTTGTAATAATTAAAGGTTGGAGATGGAGGAGAAAACCCTACCGTCACTGATCCCGTTGGTCTGAGTCTTGTACAGCTCCTCTTCTTCCTCTTCCTCCAACTCCTCAGAGGGATCAGGAGGACGCACATAACGCCTGCACAGGCATAAGTAATGTTTATAAATATAGTATGTCATAAAAAGGTCATAGTATAGGATGCCCAAAAAGTCACAGTATATTGACAATTCAAATAAAAAAGTCATAGGTCGAAATGCATCAGGAATGTATCTTCAATAGAAGCCATTTAACTGTCTACCCACCAAGGCAAGGCTTTTCCAGCAGTAACTGACATGTGGAAACCGCACTGCTCTGGCAACTACCTTACCAAATGGTTACTGACTCACTCAACCCTAGTGTTCGAGTTGTGGGAGGATTTTAAGCACAAAGCCCAGTGACCCGGTTAACTCTCAGATATTAAAAATCACCTAGGCAGTCATGGAGTGCACCCGAGCAAATGCTCTAGCCACTTACTACACAAAGATAACAAACTGAAACAAAAGAAGGTTCAATGGAGACAGCTTTTGTCTCATTGCTTAAAAATATGAGAAAATCATTAAAAACAAGCTTTGGCAGAAAACACATTATAAAAAATGTAAATAATAGTACGTCAAGAAAGTCATAGAGTATGTTCTAAAAAGTTATATGTTGAATGTTGAAAAAGTATGGTAGATGATAGTAAGTCATTTCAAAGTGTGGTATGTCATAAAAATCATATATTTGTTTGTCATAGAAAGGTATGTGTATCATTTTTTTTATAGTATACCACTGTATTGCAGGCTGTGTGTGTGTGTGTGTGTGTGTGTGTGTGTGTGTCTGTGCATGTGTGTCTGTGCGTGTGTGCTTGTGTGTGTGCCTGTGTCTGTCTGTGTGTTCAGTGTGTGTGTGTGTTCTGCGTGTGTGTGTTCAGTGTGTGTGTGTTCAGTGTGTGTGTGTGTGTGTGTGTGTGTCTCACGCCAGCCTCTGCAGGAACAGCGTGTAGAGCTCCTCTCGGCTGCAGCAGCCTCTCGGCACGCTGAGCAGCAGCGGGTGTCCGAACAGCGAGGTGCCGTACGAGCTGCTGCCGGAGCCGTAGTCTCTGTAGTGAGAGCGCTCCCTCAGGTAGAGCGCCAGCAGCACCTGCTCCTCCTGGTGCTCCTCCTGGTGCTCCTCCAGGTGCTCCTCCAGCTCGCTCAGCTCGTACCTGAACGCATCGCCAGGGTCAGCAACAGGGGACATTTACATCAAAAAACAGCGTGGTTTCCTAAGATGTCTGCATGGCTTGGTCCTCATGTATTTTGCATGTATGTTTTTAAAATGGTATTTTTGTGGAATAATTCTTTTTTACTTTTAAGTTGACATTTGTTTTTAAAGCGTCCTGTGGACAAGTGTTGCATCTCAACCTTTTGCATACATGTAAATGTAACCATTATAAGACTGCTGTGATGCCTGAAATACACTAAGCTAGAATAGTTGACAGTGTTTGCGATGCTCTTACACAAAGATGTCGTCCCGGTCCAGAATGCAGCTCAGAGACTCATCGGTGTTGTAGATCTTGTAGAAACGGTGGTTGAACACATCAGCGACCACCATCTGAACGACAGGGTTAGAGCGTAGAAAACAGGTTACACAGCAAATCTCTTAAACATGGACACTGACACATTAGGTCAAGGTAGAAATGCGACTCTGGACTATTACGGTTTTTTATCACAAATGTAAACATTTCAGCACACCTGTGTAGGAGGTACGCTGGTCATCTCGGACAGGGCAGTGCAGAGGTCCGACACTTTTCCTGTTTTAGGAACCACGACACGATGCTGTACACAAAAAGACAAGAAAACATTGCTGTCGTAACACAATGAAACTGATCTTACATTTGAAATTGTTCTATTTGTGTTCTGAACACAGGTCAGATCTTTTTTCAGAGAAATCATTCAGTTCATCTGCAGGAGTGTCATGACAGTAAATGATTAGGTAGAAACCGTCACCTGTGCAGGTTTGGCGTAGGGGTCCAGAGAGACGAAGAAGACCTCCATGACGCGCTCCTTGCTGACAGGAAGTGGCACGCTCAGGTAGCAGAAGGGGTCAAAGGTCACGGAGACTTTGTGGCACTCCGGACAGACGAGCGTGGACTTGAAGAGGCCGTGAAACGTGTCGACGATCACCGAGTCGTTCCGCCGGCGGTGGTTACGCCACGCCTCCTCCGCCACTTCCTGTGGGAGAGGAAGGGGAGACAGGAAGTATGAAAAGAACATAATTTCAAAGTTTTCAAGGCTTTGTTGTCATGTGTGCATAGCTACAGTGTAGTTATGACAATGAACATCTGAGGTCACAGGCTCCTCCAACAGTGCAACACAATAAAACTGATAATAGTGCAAGTAAATAAAATAGAATAAAATAGAAATAGTGCAGAATAGTCTATATACAAGTAATTGGAATATTGATATAAATAAATTAGATGGATGTTCTTTCAAAAGTGCAGGTGTTTAACAGTCTTTTATATCACTTGTAGTGTCTGTTGTTCCTCAGCTGAGGTCGCAGCAGCTCACCTGGTCCGGTCGTCCCTCGGCGTCTCGGAGCTCGATGTACTCTTTGTTTTTGACCCGGTTCAGGTCCTCGTGCAGACCGTCCGCCAGGAAGGACAGCAGCTCCTGGCTGTCGTGCTGCTGGTACCCCAGGAACTGAGAGGCAAAGTGGCCCACCTTCGTCTGCACACACGCAGAGTTTAGGACATAAACAGGAAAGGTAATGCATCACATTTCTGTTTTTGTCAGATATAAGACTTTACATCTGAGGACTGTACGACGAAGCCGGATTTTCGCTTAGCCGGCTAACTTCAGGGAAAACTCTGGGTTTCAGGTCCTACGACGCTGGTTCACTTTTTAGCAGGCTAGATCTCCATGGTAACTTATGCTGAGCGGCTAACCTGCTCCGGCGATCAAGTCATATTACAAGAGAAAGGAAATACAGAAAAGCTGCCGTCGCAGGAAAGACGGCCGGCAAAAGTCCCCGACTGTGTGAACGTGAACATTAATAGAATATCACCTCCATCTTCAGAGCAATCTGACTATTATAACATTAGCGTTAAGAAAGCTTACTTAAATATCTGCCACAACATAAGTAACCGGATCAGAGTAACATTAAGTACAGTCAGCGGCATATCACATCATAATGTATCATATATTTCCTTATCTGAGTCAGCTGAGCCGTATCTGGCCGTGCAACACTCACAGTGTCACAGACTGTATGCAGAAGTATTATTTTAAGCAACACATTAAGTTGATGAAACACTCGAGTCAAATGTAATTAAAGTCAGATCGTGTTTTAGACGGGGCAGTGATATCATAAACCTGTTAATGTACGCATTCAAACACTTTTTCTTTTACCAGCTGTATTCACCTTGCAGGTGCAGCTATGGGGCTTTGATCCTGGATAAAGTGTTTAAGTCATGGATGTTTAAAGTTTAACTTCTTCATATGTCTAATATTATAGTTGACTTTTCATTCAGGAAGTATGACGCTGCGCTGTCAGTATGCGCTTCTCCATGTCTGCGATTGGTCAAATGTTGCTAGCCCCGCCCCTTTCATGTGAACGCGCACTCAGCCGGAAACAGAGAGACCCTGGCTTGAGTTACCGAGTTGATAACCAGCGTCGTAGGACCGCTTTAGCGAGAGCGCGTTTGTTTTGGATTAGGTAAGCCGGGTAACTCAGACAGATCCAGGGTCTGTTGAACCGGCTTCGTCGTACAGGCCTCTGGGATATCAACAGAGAGAGGAGGATCAAAGAAGCCTCCCGTCTGTAGCTCTTTAACAGGCTCTGAATGATTTACACGGCCCTCAGAGTTCAAGTCCGTCCAATATGTTAATGTCTTGGTTATGTGAAGAAGCTGGACTGGAGCTTTGTCAGCAGGTTTTTCTAGTTTTGCTTCCTTATCCTCAAAGTAGAAACAAACTAAAATAGGTTTACGGCATATTTGTCAAATACAAAGTCACATGGAAACTCCATTTGGGAAGAACAGTCGGTGATTGAGAGTGTGAAGAAAAGACGGTCAGATTTGTTTTGATTTCAGATGTATAGAAAGCGACATGTTTGAGACTGTGTTCAGCTCTCGGCTCAGTCTCTGTGGTCTGGAGTTCAGTTTCACTCTGTTCCTGCTCAGTTTCATTTTACACATCAGAGAGGCAGCTGACTCTCGTCTGTTCATGTATCAGCCAAGCTGTAAAGCCACAGAACAGGGTTTTCTCTGTTCAGATTCATAGAAAATAAACTTCCAAACCATACAGTCTATTGGCCATGCTATAATGTGAGACCTCCTCTGTGTAGTCCGTTCCTCAACGTGTCGGTACCTTGAAGACGCGCGGCACCACGGAGTAGTGGCGGCCGGACCACATCTGTTTGATGACGTCGGCGTAGGCCTCGGCGATCTCTCCCTTCATGCCCAGAGGGTTGGTGAAGTTCAGCTCCTCCAGGTAGGAGCTCTGCAGGAAGTACTCCGTCAGAGGGGGGGTGTTGCTCAGACACTGCAGGGAGAGAGGGGGAGGGGCAGGGGAGCTCCAAGTGTCAATCATTACGTTTTCTAATCCTAAATCAATGTTTGAATTCTGTGCAGCCCCTAGGAATCATCACACACACACACACACAACTACACACACACACACACACACACACACACACACACACACACACACACACACACACACACACACACACACACCACACACACAACACACACACACACACACACACACACACACACACACACACACACACACACACACACACACACACACACACACACACCACACACACACACACACACACACACACACACACACACACACACACACACACACACACACACACACACACACACTAAAAGTGAAGAAATAGTTCATGTATGAAGCTGTTTAAAAGTGCTGCTCAGTGGACCGGACAAAACACTCGGGTGAATTCATGTTATGAATAAATATGAATCGGTTTCAGGAGACTGAGTTTGGGCGGAGAGGCTCAGAGCAGCCGAGCTCCTGCAGGCGCAGCAGAAACCTGAGGAGCAACACCGACACCACGCAGGTGTTAAATATTCACAGAGCAGATCCAACGTGCACTGAAGACCTTTAAAGAGGACTTTAAACGTGAAAAATGACAGCGACAAAATACTACTAAATGCTAAAGCAGGTTACACATTTCCGAAAATCCAAATAATCACTGACTTTTAAAGAAAACAGAATTGAATTTAAATGGATACCTTTCAGATTTGTCATCTAACTAAACGTTTACAGCGGGATAATGGAGGTCATTTTGCAAGAGCTTGAATATCGGTGTGTCTTGAGATTCTGGCTTTAACCTTGTCAAACATGACTCGGCAGTTCCTGCAGCGGGTATAAGGATGATGAGCGTGTGTGTGTGTGTGTGTGTGTGTGTGTTTATATTACTGCAGTATTTCAGAATAGGTTTAGGAAACTAATTCTCACAGAGCCCGAGGATCTTCTGTGTGTGTGTGTGTGTGTGTGTGTGTGTGTGTGTGTGTGTGTGTGTGTGTGTCAGACCTGGAGTGCAGAGTTCATGAAGCAGGTGTTGCCCAGGTTGGTGAGCCCGCAGACCCCCGGCTGCCCTCGGTACGAGTCCTGCTCCTCCACCGAGTTCCTCCTGCAGACAGAAAGGATAGAGAGAATGAGACGGCGTGTATAGAACTGTAACGTGGAAACAGACGGAGGGGAAGGAGGCAAAGCAGCTGCATCGTTTTTGAGATAAAAAAGGATTTTGTTGTTCGTGTTTTTTCAGACTCAGTGAAACTAAGTCTGACTAAAGTGGTTTACTGTGGTGTAAACTGAGCAGCTGATGTTTTATTATTAAAGTGTTACATTAGCAATTATATAAACCGAAGTTTAACATAAAATAAGAGGTTTGAAACTCCCGGGCGAGATAACTTCATGCAGCACCAACATCTTTCGTTGTTATGATAAATCCGGCCTGTATGCGAGGGTTTCTCCCAAGGCTCTTTCACTGAAGAACAGCGATTTATGTCTTAGCAAAGTGGTATATTATAAATATACATATTTTGGTTTGACAGTTACCAGAACACTGTGATCCTGGCTGGGCCACTTGTCAACACTAACACAAGTCAGGAATGTCGCCAAACGGATTTATGAACGCCTCCCTCTCTCTGTGTAGTCTAATGCAAATAGAAGCACATTTACAGAAAATGCAAATGACTGCATCACTTCTCCTTGTGGCTTTTAGCTACATTTGAAACTTAGATTGCACCGTGAACGCAAAGCTAAATGCATTAATTCACCAGCCATAATATTCAGCAATTAATATTGTCTTTATAATCATAATTTGTGTCGCCTTTAAAGCAGGGGAACACACTTAAACAATAACTAAGAACAATCAGGGAGCAGAACAATTATGTATTCATTCCTGTTTATATTACCAGTTATAAAACGGACAAGTCAAATCAAGCAATCTGATTGGCTCTTAGCCGTGATATAATGAGCGTATATCACGGGTAGAATAGTAGTTACTTTTCACAAGTCAGTATCCCTCTGCGTCTGAGAAAAAGCTACAACCGTTACAGCTGTTACATTACATCCGTTACGAAACTAACGAACTAACAAAGCTTAAGATGGAAATATTTAAGGTCAACTTCGACCTCCGGGGGGTCTCACTATGGAGGAGAGGATTGAGCAGTGCCTATCTCCAGAAAGCACCTAAAGGACGACATGCAGAGCTACGTGAAGAGCAGGTAGACCAACTGGAAGTACTCCCATTCAAAAGCTTTCTGATGCGGGTCTTGAAACAAAGCAGAGACATGATGACCGTTAGTGGCCACAGGTGCGAAAGCTCTCTCCAGAGCTGCTGGAGCCAAATCTCGGGGACCGGAGAAAGTGGAGCAATATTCTGACCACGCCAAGCAACAGCCTAGAACAACCTCAACCTATACAAGTAACCACGGTAGCCATGCTACTGATGCTGGACAGGTTTTCAGTGGCTGCACAATAAAAGGAAACATACAAATGAATGTAAATAAAAAGCCAAATAATGGATCAACGCTCTCTGTCTAATATGTTCGCTAGCTGTTAGTGTTGTTGCATAGCAACCACCACGCACTATGTTTCGTGCAGAAGGCAACGGAGGGACTATTTTATTTTGAACATCATTATTTACTAATAAAAACTATTTAAATTAGAGTGTGTATTTTTCTTTCATATTGCCACACTTGGTAACCGTTTATAAAAGCAATAGCTCACGACAGGCCGTGGTATGTGCTCAGTATATCACAGCTAAGGGGCGTGGATCGGCCCGACGCCAGCTTTTGCTTAATTATATCCTGCACAATAATCAACGGTTCACAAATATTAATGTTATTTATATTTTTCGTCAAATTGTACTTTGTATGTGTTTTTTCAAGCTAAAAGAAATGCTTTGGTTTTTTCTGGTAAAAAAACCAAAGCTTTAAATCTGCTTTTGTTCGAGGGAGATAAAGAAAACAAAACTGAAAGTTAAGGGAAGACCGTCTGACAGGTAGATCTAAGACATTCCCCAGACAGGAAGAAAGAAGGAGGGGGGGGGGGGGGGGTCAAACCGAATAATAAGATGAGGAAGGAGAAAATGAGACGGTTGGAAGAATAGAAAAATAAAAAATACAATAGAAAAATAAAAAGTAGTAACTAAAGAAAAAGAGAGAGAGAGAGAGTGTGTTCTTACATGATTTGAGGCCTGGAGCTCGGCCAGGTGCCGTCGGCATTTCTCGTCTCCATAATCACCGTCTGACACACACACACACACACACACAGAAACACACTTATCTCTGAGGATTGTTGTAAAGGAAGCTCGGCGCTATGAGGAAGTGAGTGACTCGTGCTAATGTGAAGACAATCTACCTGGAACTCTATGAATGAATTTACACGTATGATTATAAAATGTTTGTATATAAGTGATGTTAAACAGTGTGTCCTCACCATGGCGGAGCTCAGACAGGCGTCCAGCACGCTCACGTGAACGTTCCTGAGGCGCTCGCAGGTGCTGTCCGAACTCTTCATCCACAGACGGCACTCTGAGCCCGGAGGCACCGAGAACGCCTCACACATCGCCCTCTGGATCGAGTCTACACACACAAGAGATGTGAAAATGAACCCTTCTTCTAGACACCATTTAAGTCCTTAAACGTTGGCCATTGAATAAAAGATGACACACAAAGGAAAAACAAAACTTAAAGTAACTTTTTAACACAAGAAAAACACCTCAAGTGAGCATAAAAGCATCAAAGCACAAAAACGTGTTTCCATACAGCTCTTCTAATGCAATACTTCAAAATGTGCATAAAGATGGGTTCATGGAGACCCGGCTAATGTCACCACAGCTTCATGGAGCAATGGTTCTCACAGTTTGTTGTGGAGGAACTTCACTGATCTGACCTCGGCTCCTTCCAACACCGCCCACTGTGAGTCAGCCCTGAGCCGTGAAGCTGGTTAACAACCTCCCCAACATGTAGTGTCACACACACACACACACACACACACACACACACACACACACACACACACACACACACACACACACACACACACACACACACACACACACACACACACACACACACACACACACACACACACACACACACACACACACACACACACACACACACACACACACACACACACACACACACACACACACACACACACACACACACACCAGGGTGGGAATTTCACGACGGCCACGACGGCCGTCGTTGCCCCGCACTTTGGCCGTGATGCCCTGTGAAAAAAAATGCAATTCACGGCCAAAGTGGCCTTGGTGCCCCTGTCAAAAGTTCCAGTGTAAACAACGCTAGTAAAGTCATATTAGTGCGCGCAGTAGGATAGTCCCGGGCGATGCCTGTGCCCTGTGGATCAGAGCGATTGCTCTGCTGTGATTGTTCCGTCAGAAATGCCTGTAGGGGCCCGACAGCCTGCTCCTCAGCCGCGGGAGCAAGACAAGCACAGGTAAGCAAGCGGACCAAGCTGTTTTGATATGATTTAACTGAAGTATGTGGTAGTATTTGAAAGGACTTAACATTTACGTGTTTATAGAAAGTACTATTGATAGGTAATTACCATTGTATTAGCCTATTTAAAGTCGACTCGTTACATTTTGTCATGAAAACTAGCGATAGCTAGCTAGTTTGGATAGCGCTAACGTCTTCCCTTCAAGGGGTCTACATCTAGTGTTGCTTCTACAAGCTAGCAGATAGCTGTCACCTTTGAATCTAGTATTTTTCTTGCTAAGCGGTTTTGATATAATACATGACTGACTTATGTGGTTTATGGCTGAACTTAACGTATACGTTAAAGAAACACTATTGCTAATCAGCCATTTGTAAAACGACTGGTGTTGACGTTAGTGCTACACTTTTCAGTCATGTTGATTGACCAGCGTAATTTAACCAAACGGCCTTTGTGCCCTGTCATGTGGCCTTTGTGCCCTGTCATGTGGCCTTTGTGCCCTGTCATGTGGCCTTTGTGCCCTTGAAAAAAATGTGAACGGGAAGGCCAAATGGCCTTGCCCCTAAAATGACGAAATTCCAAGCCTGACACACACACACACACACACACACAAACAGATAAACTCACGTATGCTGTCCGTGCGGCTGAACTGGGCGGTGATGACGTTCTCCATGTTGCTATGGAGACAGAGGAATATCTCAACGGGGTACACCTCCACCTTCAGGGTGCTGGGCAGGTCCACCACCTGACACACACACACACAGAAAAGTACAGTTAAAGGGTCTTAAGTCGAGGAAACACACCGGGAACACACCTTGTCTGATTTTGGAGATAAATGATAGCCTCTGCACCTGATTGGCTGACAGCTCGGGACATGTTACCTTGCGCTCCAGCGGCGGCTGCCCCTCCAGCATGCCGTACCAGGCGAGCAGCTTGTGCCAGGCCTCAGCCGGCACCAACATGAAGTCCTCGTTCTCCACCAGGCGCTCCTTCAGGTGGTACGAGTCCAGGTCTAAAGACAGGAGACACATGTTGGCATTAGACCAGAAGCACATGCTAAACGTTTGTTTGTGTCAGGGAGGATATCTGAAACTGAATGTATTGGTTCATCGATTTCCTGCCTTTTTCTCTGTTTATATCAAATTAAACTGATTATGTTGACAAATAAGAAGAGTGTATGAGGAGAGGCGTGTTGTTTGTGCGCGAGGCGTTCACTGACCCTCAAACAGCTCAGTGTTGTCGATCTGACCGGGGAAAGATGACGAGTTCTGGTCTCCGGTTTCCACAAACTCCTTCCACTGTTCATACCAGCGACGCTCCACCACGTACCTGCAACACACACACACACACACACACACACACACACACACACACACACACACACACACACACACACACCACACACACACACACACACACACACACACACACACAACACACACACACACACACACACACACACACACACACACACACCACACACACACACACACACACACACACACACACACACCACACACACACACACACACACACACACACACACACACACACACACACACACACACACACACACACACACACACACACACACACACACACACACACACACACACACACACACACACAAAATCCTTTTCAACTACTTTCATAATTGTTAAATTTTTCAGCAAAAATGTCAGAATATTCTTTTTTTAGCCGCTTTAAATTAGTATTTCCTCTTTTGCTCTTTTCATCATATTGAATAAAAAAATCTGAGGGTTTTGAATTTCTACAACAACTAAAAATCTTTAAAATGTGAGGGACTGGGATGGAGATTTTTCACATTTTTCTGACATTTCTATGGGACAAAATCCAGAACAAAACAAGTCGGAGCCTTAGTGATTGTGCAGCCTTGTTCTCCTGCTCCTTAAAGTCCGCTCTACACCCGACACGTAAATCATTTACACTGGAGTCCAAACATCTGACTGCTACAAACCCAACGCATAGTTCACAATGGTTTTGTTACATAAGACACCCACGCATCAACTGTGTTTCGTTCACATCAGTCCAGCTCTTGGACTGAGGTCACTAACATTTGGGCGCCTTTTCTACAGAAGAACAAGAGCACAGGAAAACTATCTAAAATGCAAATGTCAGAGCCCTTGTTACCCGGAAACACACACAGTTGGTTTAGTGAATATATCTGAACACTTGATGTCACCAAACCACCAACACACAGGTTTTGTTTTCAGTTTCATTTCGTCTCACAGACGCAGTTTTGCTTTACTTTAGTCAAATGTCATCCTTTTTCTCTGATCTGGGTACCATGATACTTGATCACAGTGTAAGAAGATATCCACAGATCTGAGGTGAGACTAAATATCTTTCTATCAGTACATCTCTTTCTGTCAGGGCATTTGTAGATCCCATGTGACTAAAATCCAATACACCAAACCACAGAGGATAAAAACAGCACACCGTCACAGGCTATAAAACAAAACCTGGACTTGGTCTTGAATGATCCCACGGTGCACCTATAAAGTTAATCTTCTGACAGCGTTACGACTCCTGCTCTACTGGGAGATTTATGAAAATGTAGACAGAGAATGGGAAATGAAACCAAATGAAGGCTGCCGTTTGTTCCAGCAGAAACCTGCCCAGTCATGGTGCATCACAATCTGCCCGGCCATGTTCCCACTACAGGGCGACTGGACGGCATCAGAACAACACGCATCACTTCAGTCCGTCTCCTGTGGAAACACACTTCTGTTTCAGCTGAGTCAGGGATGGTTGTTCAATTTAGTGAATGTTTTTTAGCATCATAGAGGCAAAGGTATTTTATGGCTGCTTGACACTGATGCTTTATTACATTATCGGTATCAGGTCGTCAAATGACTTAAATGAGCGAAGGCTCGAAAGGTTTGAAGCCTCATTCTACATTTAAATCAGCATTTGAATGACAGAGTTGTTTCTTTCTTTTCCCATGTCTATTCATTCTGTTTAATCCTTAATTTCCTATGCAGTTAGAAATAAGGATTAGGCTTCACTAATATTAGATTTGTTAAACTATTTGTAGGATAATGTTCCAGTGGTGTTTAATTGTTTCCAACTCATATAATCCCAAAAAGTCCAATGAATTTAATTCCCCCACAAAGGTGTAAAGTGACTAAAGTCCCAAAGTTGTGTCCATAGTCCCAATGATTTTATTTAAAAAATAAATCTATATCAACATGTTGATGCACTTTAGGTAGGACACTTAACATCACAATGCCTGCACCATTAGCTAAGTAATGTAATCAAAGCCAAAGGAGGACAGCTACTACTTTTAATACCTTAACCTTTTTTCCTGATTACATAATTTCACTCAAGTGACATATTCAATGCAGGAATACTTGTGAAAGAGTATTTTCACACTGGTGGTTGTAGTACTTGTGAAACGATACAATAAACTGACTAAACTCTGTAAGAGTACTCGTTTTGCAGATTGATGAATTTCAGAATAATGTATATGATGTGTTTTATAATGATTGATCATGAAAGTGTTCTCAAAGCTGGTAAAGGTGCAGCTAGGTTTAATGACTTTGTATATTGCAGGGTAGCTTGTAAATTTACTCCAGGTGTAACTAAAGTCTGATTTAAGTGGTGATTATATTTCACATCCTTAATCCAAATCTGTAACTTAACTAAAAGTACGACATAATGTAGTGGAGTAAAGGATTAAATTAAATTGTTATTTATTATGCAGAAATGGTCAAATAAACATCTCATTTCAAAACTCAACGGCACAGATGTCTTTAATTGCGCAGCTCCCATGTTCCACATCCCAGTCCAGCTCTGGTGAAGACAAAAGTGGAAGCATAGGAGTGGAGCCTGAACATGTCATTACAGCAGGTTGACAGGCTAACGTTAGCATCGTCGGTTAACGGCCAGTTTAACGTCTGTTAGCCCCGGTTAGCCCGAGCTAACAACCGACACCAACCCGTTAACGGTCCCTAATAACCAACACCGACCCGTTAACGGCCCCCAACAACCAACACCAACCCTTAAACGGTTCCTAACAACCAACACTCTGCCGTTAAAGCCGTTAGCAGCCATTAGCCGTGTGATGCTAACAGTGTTTTTAGACTCACCAACTGTCCCCAGCGCGGAGCTCCCACTCCCGCAGAAGAGACTCGATCTCCCGCCGTTGGGTGTCCAGGCCCGGGGGCTCTGCGGCGGAACAGCGGCTGTTGGCCGTCATTGCGCTGAATCAATCACTCATAAATGTGGGTAACTGTTAGAAATATTAAATGGAGACGAGAGGTAGAAGTCCACCGCCGCATTGATCAACCGATAAACGGGGAAGCTACACTGTGTTTGCGGAAGAAGGAAACTGTTTAGACCGAGACGATGACGACTTCCTACCGAGGCCTCCACACCTCATTCCACACCAGGGGGCATTTATTATTAAAAATATCATTATTTAAATCATTTAAAAAAAAACTAGTAGACTCAATGACACTTCAGATGACTACTCACATTAAGACAATATATTGAATATGTTGTATGCAAATTATCTTATCTTATTATCTTTATGTAATATTTAACTGGTATTCTGGCTACGTCAATATTCTACATTACCATGGTAACACAGGCTCAACAAATAATGTATTGTAAAACAGAGTCAAAGGTTTTTAAAGAGGGAATTGTGGATATATATTTGTGACATTCCCTAAATCAGAATTTATAAATCAGAAAATATCAGCATTTTGAAAAAAATGCAAAGTTTGTCTTGATTTTAGATATACAATGATCAGCCTTTGAATGATATATAAACAAAGCAATCTGAAAATGTGTTTAAATCATCTGATTCTTTCTTTGAATTGAACTGGTGCATTTAGGTGAAATCTACAGAGGCAAATTGACAAACTACGTATAAAAAAAACTATATTTTGACTGTTTCCACTTTTCTGAAAACCCCCCAAACATAGCCTGAAAATAATTTGTAAAGAATAAAAATAAAAATAAACGATATAAAAGAAATATAAATGCTTTCAATCAAGACCATTATATTTTGTATATTCAAGCTCTGTTGGTTTGTACAATCTTACACATCCAAGCAATAATCAAGCATATTTTGAAGTAATACCAAAAAGCATTACACAGGTTTCAAGAATGTGCCTTTGTTTATCAAATCATTTTGTCTGTTTTTTACGATCGTGGTTGTTGCAAATATCGCGAGGTTTAAGTGCCGTGTCCTGGACCAATCAGTGGCGTCACTGAATAAACGCTCGACCAATGAGGCGTCAGTTTCATCACTCGTGGTTGCCAGGGAGGGAAAAGTTCCGCTGCAGACTAGTTCGCGGGCTGAGCTGACAGACTGAACTCATCATGGACGACGTGGAGATGGTGGAGCCTGAAAGTGAGAAAACAACAACGGAAAGCGGGCAGAAACCGGACACGGGAGCCGGGGAGGCTTCGACTAAAAGCTCCGGTGTCAGCTATGAACTGCCCTGGGTGGAGAAGTACCGTCCGCTGAAGCTGAACGAGATTGTGGGGAACGTGGAGACGGTGAGCCGGCTGGAGGTGTTCGCCAGGGAGGGAAACGTCCCGAACATTATCATTTCAGGTCAGTGTGGAAACAAGGAGGTAGAAAGGACTGGGAATTAAAGTTTAGTGTTTTATTTTTTACTCCCAACCGGCTGCTCAATAATGCAACAACTACATGGTGCTCTGGGTGGAAGAAGTACTCAGATATTATACTTCAGTGAAAGTAGTAATACCAGACCAGAGTGTGAAAATACTGCAAAGTCCTGCTTTCAAAATGTCACTCAAGTTAAAGTATATGCATCAAAATATGCTTTAATGTTCCTGAAGTAAAAGTACTCATTATGCAGATTTAAAGTAATATTGTTGATGTTTGAATGTGTTCATCACTTTAATTTTGCAGCTGATAAAGGTTGGGTACAGTGTTATTATTGCATATGTGCTTATCTATAACAATTTATCATGATTTGTGTCAATTTACATACAGTACCAACTCAAGTAAACTTTCTTACCAAGTTCCTTTCGCCCACTGAACTGAATATAAAAACACTCATACAAGAGGTCTAAAATAAAGACATTGATCAAACAATGCCTCACTGACACATGTCACTTTATCGCTTCAAACACTGGTGTATTTCTGTGTTTCGTAGCTGTACACAAAGCTTGTAAACAGTAAGGTTGTGGTTATCTATAATGACAACAACTTTAAAACTAATGCATCGGTTATAAATCTGATTGTTTTTCTAATATGAAGATTGCAGCAGTTTAGGTAAATCCTATTGTTAGCTTTTTATGACTGTTTTGTAGTGCTGGGGGGAAACGATTATTTTGAAAACGATTAATCGGGCGATTATTTGATCGATTAGTCGACTAATCGAACGATTATTTTTCTGTTGTTCAATTCATAAAAAACGTAATGTAAAAAAAACGTAATGTAAAAATTTTTTTTTTCACGATACTGTGTCTCAGGGGATCTTAATATTTAAGAACCTATTAATGTGTTATACCAGATTAACGGAAATAATCTCAGCTAACTGACGATACAAACCATGTTTACCAAAACAAAACAAAACACAAGTCTCATAAGAAGCAAACTAAAATGCTATCTAAATGACCCCTGAGCGAAAAATGCTAACGGACATTGGCACAGAACTCAAGATAAAAGTACCCTTATTACTTATCGTAGCTGCACATACAATATATCCGATTAAAGCTGAGACTCCACAGATTATGTAGGTACATAGTATCATCACTGAGTGATCCGGACTCGCGACAGGGGAAGCAAATACAGTCATCACAACACGTACCTTCACAGAGCTTCTAGGGAGATCGTCTCACCGCCGTAGCTGTCAATCTGATCAAAATACGTGTTCAATGGCATTCAAATGAGAAAAAACGCGGCTGAATCGGTTAATCCATAGGTTTTTAACGTCTATGTATAAACAAATTATTGAATTTATAATCCATAATTCCATTTTATGTAAAAAATCGGAGAGCAAATGCTAGCTGCTAATGGTTGCCACCACAGCTAGCTGCTGCTTCCGGTCAAGCAGCAGTCTCAGTGAGATATAAATATATTTGCGTTTTGGACTAACTTTAAAATATTCCCATGCTTTTGAAGACCTGGGGCGAGATGTTTTCGTTTGAGGGCTTCGTGCGCAATCCTGTGAGGAGGAGTTGGTAGCCGTTTCAGTCTCCATTGTGTTAGAAGTGCGATTGCGAACTGCTTGTTGCTTTGGGTGACCCACGTGTGTGTGGCGACCATATATACAGTCTATGGTGTCGACGCGGAAATATGTCGTCGACGATATTTTGAAGTCGTCGACGCGTCGCTACAGCACTACTGTTTTGTAATACAAAGTTAATGGTCAAATGTGATTTGCGGTGCAGGTCCTCCGGGCACAGGGAAGACCACCAGCATCTTGTGTTTGGCCCGAGCTCTGCTGGGAGCCTCCATGAAAGACGCCGTGCTGGAGCTCAACGCTTCAAATGAAAGGTGACATACTAACAAAACGTATTTTGTAGAAATCTTTTCAAGGTTGAACGTTGACCGTAGTAAAGATGCACTTATTTATATTTACTGTCGTTCTAGGAACTATAATTGACAGCATACATAAACGTTCCTATTTGCACCATGTTACAAGAGCATGTTGTCGAATCCATGTTTATAAGGTTGTTGCTGCACGGCTTATTTTGGACTTTTCTCGCAATTTCTACTCCTAAAACAGCACACACTGGTTTAATATGTTAATCGTGCGTCGTCGAGGTCATACTGATGCTGTTGTGTCTGCAGAGGAATCGACGTGGTGAGGAACAAGATCAAGATGTTTGCTCAGCAGAAAGTCACACTGCCCAAAGGACGACACAAGGTCATCATCCTGGACGAGGCCGACAGGTGAGAGAAGCGATATCAGAGGAGCAACGTTTACCATCTGAATGTGGAACAGTTACTGACTCGAGGCTTTAGTCGGGACCCTGCCAAGTGTCCGGAGAGGAATCTGAGCCAGATAAATAGAGGGATGAGACACAGATGTTACAATCTATCTACATCTTTTTCCTGTGGAATAATTTCACCTTTGTTAAATATTTTAATTGTCATTATTTATGAAGATGGATTGAACTGCTTAGAATCTCCACATTAGGATCATTTAGATTTGTTTAGAAGGTCAAACAAGCTAGTACAAGTTACAAAAGATAAGATCCTCCATTTTTGTAATGCCACCCTGATGGTTTTATAACTTTTTTTAGCGTTATTTCTCTTGAGAAAAATGTGTTCATCATGACGGACCAGTTTGAAACGTTGGCATAGTTATCAGTCACCAACAAAGCATATTGCACACAATTACAAGATCTAAGTTACCTTAAGAAGAGGAAGAAAACATGACTATTTAATGACAAGTTCCCATCAGCACAAACACGTGGGTTTGCTGTCCTGGCTCCAGGATGGTGGAATGAGCTCCCCATTGACATCAGGACAGCAGATAGCTTACACACCTTCCAGACTGAAAACTCATCTCTTTCGACTCCACTTCGAGCGTTAGAACTATTAACAAAGCACTTTTATACTAATAAAGGATTGGCTTATCTAAAGCCAGTTGAGTAGCACTTGAAATGTTTGGCTCTATGAAACCTGATGTACTTATATGATTCTGTTTTCTTCAAGGTTGTGTCTTCCTGGTCGAATGTACTTATTGTAAGTCGCTTTGGATAAAAGCGACAGCTAAATGTAATGTAATGCATTTCTTCCTAAAGAAACATGTTTTGGATGTCGAAATATAAAGCCACGTGTCCTTTGATTTTTCATCTTTATAATATTGAGTTTCTCTGGGCACGGTTTAATGTCTCCTTCCTCCTCCCCCAGCATGACAGATGGCGCTCAGCAGGCGTTGAGGAGGATCATGGAGATCTACTCTAAGACCACGCGCTTCGCTCTGGCCTGTAACGCCTCAGATAAAATCATCGAGCCGATCCAGTCTCGCTGCGCCGTGCTGCGTTACTCCAAGCTGACGGACGGACAGATCCTGTCGCGGCTGCAGGACGTCGTGGAGAAGGAGAAACTGTCGGTGTCAGACGACGGGCTGGAGGCCGTCATCTTCACCGCACAGGGGGACATGAGACAGGTGAGGGGGGGGGGGGGGGGGGGGGGGGGGAGTTCAGTATTTTGAAGTATAGCTGTATAAAGATACTTTCACATAGTCGGGGTATTTCCTAGAAATAGACAGGAGTTCTAGCAGGAAGATAAGCTTCTTTTAAAAATAAGTTTTAGTATATATATGCTATATTTAGAATATCTACCCTGTTTAGCTTGCTTTTAGACGGCTCTCTCTGAACTGACGTCGTTATCTTTGTCTGTTCTGCAAATTGAGTTCATTCTGACTGTCATCTGCTGAAGACAATACACTGACTATAGAAAAGCACCTCATACAATCCCACTTCAAAACATACAGACTATCCATTAAGCGTCTAGTGTTGAGCATGAAGGAAGGCATGTAGGGGGGTTCCTGACTTCCTGTTCCTGCGTGTCCAGGCCTTGAACAACCTGCAGTCCACCAACTCCGGCTTCGGCTACATCAACAGCGAGAACGTCTTCAAAGTGTGCGACGAGCCTCACCCGCTGCTGGTGAAAGGCATGCTGGGACATTGTGTGGAGGGGGACATCGACAAGGCGTACAAGGTGGTGGAGCAGCTGTGGGCGCTGGGCTACTCTCCGGAGGACATCATCGGGAACATCTTCAGAGTCTGCAAGACCTTCCAGATGCCAGAGTACCTCAAGCTGGAGTTCATCAAGGTGAGGCGGAGACTAAAGGCTCCGGATAGTACATCCATTTACTGAGAGGCAACAGCTTTGATTGGTATTTTATCCTTTAAAGGTGGGGTACGTCATTCACTTCAGAAACACTTGTTATATTCCATGGAATGCTCTTAACATCCCGATAGCAATGAATATCTTAAATGCTTTGACAAAAAAGACATTAAACATTTCATCTGTGGAAGCCGTGGCGCTGTAAAAAGCTCGACCAATCATCTGAGCCGGCCCGGCTAAAGTAACTGGATGGCCTACCTGCCTGTCAGCCTTCCATCTGTGCACAAACTGATCTCGTGCCCTCATTGGTCATGTGCGCGTTGGAGGAGGGGCTCTGTAAGGAAGTCTGAAGGAAGGGGCAGATTTTTTTCGGCTGCGTACTTTCAAATTCTAGCGCGAGCTGCTTTCTCCAAAATGACCTACCCCACCTTTAATTGACAGCGGACAGTAAATACAAACAAAACTGTACTCAAGATATCTTAAAGAAACTATTTTCTTAATTTTAAATGTGTATATTCATTTGAATTCATTTCTTATTCTAAAGTTACTTCACTGTATATCATTTTAATAATCTGTGAATCTGTGCTATCCTGTTTTTCATTCTAACCCTTTCACTGTTTAAAATACTGAATTTCCCCCGTGGATAAAAAAGGTCCATCGTATCTTAAATAATTGACTGAGAAGTCTCTGCAACGTGTGAATATATCCAACTCAGATGCTGCTTAGACAACTAGTTTCTCCTCATAGCATTGTGAAGCACCTTGAGATGACGTTGTTTTTTAAAGTGTGCTATTTGTATTATTACTGACAGTCAAATCTAAGCAAGCAGAATGTAAATGAGAAACTGAGCGTCTGACCTGATGTGGTTCTGCGCTGCAGGAGATCGGCTACACTCACATGCGGGTGGCTGAAGGAGTGAACTCTCTGCTGCAGATGGCCGGGCTGCTGGGTCGCCTCTGCATGAAGACAGCGCCCCCTGCCGCCAGCTGAAGAGCCTGCATCACTACACTGGACTTTAGCTGCTTAAAAACATCTGCAGCATGGATTTAATGCTGAAGAACCTGCAACTTAGTCAGATCATCAGTGTGTCCCCATCATAGAAGACATGTTGTCTGTTTGCTTAATATTGTATAAAATAGAGACAATAAATCATTTTTTCATTGATAAGTGTTGACATGTTTTGTTTTGATAATAATCTTACTGTCCAAAAATGTGAGGGAATCCACTTGCCTTAAACTAAGACTGCCAGAAGTTGCGTACTTACAATTTATTTTGAGTTTTATTTTACTGAATCTTTCATCATTTTAAATGAATATAAAAAAACTGTCATCAGGTTTGTTATAGGTACATAGTATCTTATAATCCAACAGTTAGCATAATTAACACTTGTAATGGTATTATTCATACATGGTTATTGTGAAGCTGAATTGAGCGGCCGACCAAGCAAGGAGGCAGAACGTCCAAAAACACAACCCGGTGTGAGCATTTATTAAAACATGAACCCATTACACACACAGCCTCAATCCTGCTGCTGTTCACGTGAGCCCAGCCTGCAGCCACCAGGATCTCACCCACAGTCCCTGCCTCTCAACAGAGCCTAAATAAACACACTCTAATCAGCACAACAAGACACAGGTGAGGGGGGAGGAGACAACATAGGGCACAGGTGAGGGGGGAGGAGACAACATAGGGCACCAGGTGCACACAATCAGAAACAGACATAACGGGAGGGGGAACACTTTTCAAACACAAACTTATAACTGAACAGAAGTACACACATACAAACCCAATAAACGCAGTCAGCACTTGAACAATTAGTGCCACTTAACGCTATGATGTCTACACCCCCACATATTATGTGCACCCGGATTATTCTTAACCGCTGTCATTCTACCCCAGCATAAGCACTTCCGGCGCTCTCGCTAACTCCCCTATCTTGTCAGGCGGAGCCGAGGACCCGACCAGCACCTGCCAGACGACATTTCAATCAATACGGTTTAATCCTTTAATAAATACCATCTCAATAATTAGTATATATTACATAAAATGTGCAAATATGCCATGCCAAACGGCACTGTGCAATCACGCTAATAAAGTGCAAAACTGTTCACTAAAGTGCTGAGTCACGAGGCCCGAAGCCGTCAGTTCACGTTACCTTCGTCACAGTTATGTAGGGATGTTTAATAATAGCTGCTTCATACAAGGCTCTTAATGTAAAGCACGACTACACGATCGTTACTTAAGTAAATCATCTGAATATCTCTTCTTCCCCCCCCCCCCCCGCTGAATATTAAAGTCAAACCAGAGTTTTGGATATTAACGAGCTTTATTTCATTACAAACTGTGTTTACAATAAAAGTCATGGAACAACACACCTCAAGAGTAACAGCTACCAATGCTTCAGTACAAATCTCAAAAGTAATAGTTTCAGTAATAAATATTAGTAACAGACGGCAGGAATACAATTAGTGTAAATATAGAATAAAATGAGTTAATATTTGACTTTGTGTGAGTCTGCGGGTCGACCCTGTTAGTTCAGAAACCCCCTCTAAGATCTGAATGTTTTTGATTTACAGAAGTGTTACATAATTCAAATACGAGTCAAAATACCAGGATGTATTTGTTGTTCTAGGAGCTGCTATTCAGTCCTCCAGCAGGGGGCAGCATCTCACCAGAGAACTGTTTAAATGTTATCAGTACGGAAAAGTTCAGCATCATAACGTGTCTCTACAGAAACCAACATCAGCAGGACGAGCAACATGTCTCCAACAGTAACCTTTAAAGTGCAAGTTATCAAATCAATGTCACTTAAAAGGTAGGGTAGGTAATTCACTTCAGAAACACACTTATCTCGTGCCCTCATTGGCCATGTGCGCGTTCATGTGTGTTGGAGGAGGGGCTCTGTAAGGAAGTCTGAAGGAAGGGGCAGATTTTTTTCGGCTGCGTACTTTCAAATTCTAGCGCACTCGAGCTGGTTTCTCCATTCTTACCTACCCTACCTTTAAGCCCAACAAGTACCTGTAACATTCAATTATCAACAACCCTGCTGAATGCTTTCAGTCCAGAGAAACACAACGGCAACACAACGTAGAAAACAATTCAAGTTCAAGCGTCTCTATTGTTTTTTTACGTGGAGGTTTCTTGAGTTGAGAGGCAGGTTCACAGCTGAGCATCTCAGAGACCCACTGTGAGAGCACGGTACAGACTTCATGCCACAACTCCACCACGAGCATGCTGCTGACGGCCGAATGAACACTGAGTAGAGTAAGAGGAAGACTTCAGGATCCCCTCCTGATAAAGTTAAGATCATCTTTTTTAAATGGTGCGCTTCAGAATCTATTAACCCTCTGAAGCCTGGAATAACAGACACACATCTGCCCGTTCACAGAAATAAACGTTGCCCTTTTCTTTAGGTTTTATCAGTAGAAAAACACGTCTTCATGCTGATAAAATAACGACCAGCTGATTGAGAGATATTTGGGCTGTTTTAAGAATTATAGAGCGTTTTCAAAACTGATCATCTGCAAACTTGGTGACAGAAAATATTTTTGTATCCAATATATTTTCAGTTTTTTCTTGTAAATGTGACCTTTTTATTCTCATACTTTCTAGTAAATGTGTATCTTAAAACCCCCCTTCCCTTTTAAAATGTTTTTTAACCTACAATGGCCCCAATGCGGTGTAGTAGCTTCATATATGATTTTATTTTAGATATTTTAATATGATTTTGCTGTCATCATATCAATACAACTCCTATATAAAGTCATACAAAATAGATCTTTTGTCTGGCATTCCAGGGCAGTAGTTAGGTTATTTCGTATTATTATTTTTGGTGAAATAGTCCCTTTAAGTAACCGTAATTTTAGGAAAAGAGTTTCAGAAACGAGCTTCATAGCAAACAACACCAACAACAAGAGTCGTAACAAAGTAATAACGATTATAATAAGAGTAATAATAAAAAGAAGGAGGGATCAGGCCCAAACTAAGGGAAGAAAAATGAAGGTCTGGTTAATCTACTGAAAACACAACACAACTGTAAATATGAACCAGCTCCATGTACAGTTACATCTACAGCGTCACCACGGCAACAGCATGGCTCCAGGGGGCAGGAAGTTACCCGACATCCTAAAGAGCAACGGGTTTTTTTAAAACCTACTTTTATATTAGATGTGACCTTTTCATTATTAGGAAGAACGACTACAACGTTAGAAATGTTTGGCTGCGTCCGACACAGAAGGAAAGTTTCAGGCGCACGCAGCATCAGGAGCAAGAGAGAGAGAACAGAGCAGAGAGAGAACAGAGCAGGGAGAGTCCTACGCAGTCATCTCGATGGTCTGTTCTGCCATGTGTCCGGGGATGGTGGCGCCCTCTGGCAGCGTGGTGGTGGTACTGCGGCTGCGGGCGCCCTCGGCCGAGCCCACGCTGGAGGCCGAGTGAGTTCTGGAGCGCACCAGCCGGGTCATGCCGGCTGTCGGCACTGAGGGGGGGGGGGGGGGGGGGGTTAGACATGTTAGAGACAGGAAACCAATGGAGCAGGTTCATGGGAGGGGATGCACCGATTGGGAAATACCGGGCCAAAACCAATTATTTGTTTTGTTGTTGTTTTTGTATTAACTGCCAAGAAGGTTATGTTTTTGGTTTGCCTCGAAGTCTTTCAGCAGTTATGCAATACGCTGCCGTTTAAAACTACCCCATTTATTTTGTACCAGTACTTGGAATGTAAGAAATGTATTTGGGGAACGTTAGAAATGTTAGAAACAGAAAACCGAGTGGAGCAGGTGTTGTGAGTGCTGATTGTGAAATACCGGGCCGAAACAGATGCTTACAAATAATTTAGTCCGATGGAAAATGTTTTTTTGTTGAGTAAAACCCTAAATCAGGGACAGCTGATCAGCACTGTGGATGATTTAAGAGTTAATTAAAAGGCTATAAAAAGACTGAGCTAGTTAAAGCACACATCTTGTATTTCTCACTCTGGTTTAAAGAACCATATCGGTGTTTTTTTTTGCTAAATCAACTTTATTATGGGTTTACCGAATTTCTCTCTTGTTGATTTCACATTCAAAGCTTCTATAAAGGTCGTCATTTATCTCTTTATTTTGTATAACTGCCAAGAAGGTTAAGTTCTTGGTTTGGTTTGTCTCCAAGTCTTTCAGCAGTTATGCAATACACTGCGGTTTAAAACTACCCCATTTATTTTGTGCCAGTACTTTAAGAATGTAAGAACAAAAAAATTGTGCAAATATTTTGTGGTATTCTTTGTTTAATTAAAAAACTTAAAATGGCCTAGTAGTGAATACCATCTTGCTATCCACTGACTCTGACTCTTACCCAACCATAGACGTTATGCATCACATTAATGCATATCATGTGAACAAATCTTTTTGTATTACTCATTTTAATATTGTGATTTCTGAACATCTTTTAATATCTGCACAGTTCTCCATTTCGATCCCAATACTGCATATGTATTATTGCATTTTTCTGAGTATTTTGTCACATTATGCTGCTCTTAGTTTTTTTGTATATCTATAATTGGTGTAAATATGTATCTATATTTTTAATGTTAAAATATTTGTACTTATAGTCCTATTTTTGGTCAATTCTTCTTCTCTTACTGTGTTTTATGTAGGCACCAAACAAACCAACCCTTGTCTGTGTAAACCTTGGTGGCAATAAACATATTTCTGAATTTGATTTTGATCTTATTTGTTTATATGCCGTTCTACACGGCAAATATGGACACTATGGATGAGCTGCCGATGACTCGATGCATCCCTTGGAGAGCCTGGTTGTATGACAGCAGGTCATAAACAGCATGTGCTGATTTGAATAGTTTCACACTGTGACATATCAGCAGGATTCAAATCGGATGACGGTGATTCAAAGGCACTTTCACACTGAAGCTCAGTGTGAGGTGTTGCATCAACAAAAACCTAAAGCATACAAAACGAGAATCTGAGATGTCAAATCTGATCATTCTTACATCTTGACCTGAGCCGGTTGTCATCATGTTGTCGGGTTGTGTTCGCAGCGTTTGCACAACAATTCAACACCATGACGACATTCTCTGGTTTGCAAAACTAGGGAACATTGACCCAGTTGCTTCCGGGCTTTTATAACTTCATGCCATAACAGGGCTCCAGGTGGCATCTCCACAGAGAGGAATGTATACAGAAACAGATGTGATATTTTCTGTTTTTGCTCTACTCATAGTTTTCAGTTCATGTTATTGTGGGATGCGAGTTTGATCCTACAGACATGAGCAGTTCCAAACTATCAGATGTGACGACGAGTGTCAATAGTGTGATGGCATGCAGCAGCAAAGCCTGCTGGGTAATTCCACTGCAGAAGAAAAAAACCACTCGATAACAGCATGCGCACACGCACGCACACGCACACACACACACAACACACACACACACACACACACACACACACACACACACACACACACACACACACACACACACACACACACACACCACACACACACACACACACACACACACACCCACACACACACCACACCACACACACGCACACACACACACACGCACACGCACACACACGCACACGCACACACACACGCACACAGGACTAACAAGAGAGCAAAGAAACAAAGATGAACATGGTGGTGGTGGGGGGGGGTTAAGATTCTGGTTTAAATCCTGATACCTGATTGGCTGCTCAGGCGGTTTAATACAACATGAGGGACTGGAGGAAACAAAGACAAAGAGAGAAGAAGAACCAGAGCAGGAAAGAAGGAGGACAGGTTGAAAGATCACTGTAGTTACACAAGGGCGGACACACACACGGAAATCCAACCGATTCATACTCTGCTGCGGTATAGTGAGTAGTAAGTCACTGCAAACGGCTACTTACAGTTAGTGTTGAAGCACAGCTGCAGACACACACACACACACCCTGTGTTTCAGCAGCTTAGCATAACATATCAGTTCAAACAAACAGCCCTTAGTTAAGCTTTCATCCACTGAAGCCGAGCTTGGTATTAGCTAGTGACCCCTATTTATTTTGAATACAATAAAAAAGATATCAGGAGGAATTTCCAAATCACATAAAGTAAAACTAGTCCTGTTTCAATAAGCCTATAAATCACTGAAATGTGACGATAGTAAAACACAGAGAAAGAGTTAAGAGGTTAGGACATATACCAGGAACATGTTGACAGAGACAAAGACCAACAGAAAAGTATATTCCCTCAGTCTAATTGATGTGTCAGCTAGAAATTCTGATATCTCCTCCTAGATATACACGTGAGGGAAAATACGTTTTCCTTCTTAAAGCTACGGAAGAGTGTGATCTTGCAGTCAAATGTAAAGAAGGTACTCACTGTAGCCCATCCCCTGGACAAAATACTTGAAGGCTTCTGCTAGTTTTCCAGGCTGAGGAAAGAGAAACACACTGCAGTCAGAACGGCTGATCATTCATAAAACATTAAGCAGGGTGTATGCAGGAACCCTGAAGTCTAATGTAAGACCTTTTTTAAGACCCTTTCCATACATTTTAAGACCTCATCGCCACTTGGAGTTTTAACCGGTTACCTTGGCGACACACTTCACATTGACTATATACAGTATTGATTGTCCTTCCTCCTTATCTTCCAACCATTTGGACGCAGACTTGCATTTCCCCATAACGATGTTTAACAACCGGCGTAAACGGAGCTTCGAGCTATCAAGCAGTGAGCGTGCGATGTCCTGTTCAGATGACGTCAAACCCAACGGGATGCCAGAAATAAACTACACAGAATCACACTACACACCTACGCAATGATTACATTCAGGCAGACTGTAGAATACAACCTCTTTGGACCATTTATATACTTATTGGAAACAAGCTACAAAATGTAACACCTTGGAAAATGCTGTTTAATACTTTTTAATAGCCTTAATTTTCGCAAAATTGATTTATCAACTTGTAATACTTGTTAAGACCCCGCGGACCCCCTGAGATCATTCTTTATTTTTCAAAAAGCAACATGAAAGCAGGTTGTTGTACTTCTTCCAGTGTGAACATTCACAATTTGTACAATCGAGCATACTGACCGTTAAAGGATTGATTCAAATGTTTTCTAGTGTGTCTTGCGGTCACAGTAATTTGACTGGTCTCACTCATTTCCACACAGGCGGTGAAGTAGTCCCTCCCTAAAGTAATTCTAATTGTAGTTATGGAGAATTATTCCTCTTTGGTCAGAGAAAGACAAATGAGTGTTTTCCAGAATATTTTGAGTACACAATTCCGTTAATGTGACCATGCTTTCATCAAAGCTAAGCAGGAAAACACTGCCCTGTAAAGTACAGGGTGCTCCAATACTTAACCCTCAGATGCATAAGTGGTCTTTTTTGACCCGGTGAGGTGGTTTTCTTGAAGTATCTTCTTTGTAATTACATTTTTTTTTATCATTTCATATTCCAGCTATTACTCAAAAAACATGTTTTGGATATCGTGCCATTCACATTTTAAATTTTAAGAAATTGTATTTTTGTTCTACCCCATAAGGGGGTCAAAAATGACCCGAATGCATTTTCTATGGGATCCTCTGGGAACCTTTGATTCTTATCACCTATGTCTGTCAGGAATACATTCACTGTGGACCACACAGACGACATCACAAGTGACACCTCTCAGGAAGATTATTTTACACAGCAAGATCTGATACCTGTCAGTATAATAATAATAATACATTATATTTTTGTAGGGCTTTTCAAGGACTCAAAATCGCTTTACAATATAAGGGAAGGTTAGGGTGGGGGGTATAGGCAGGGGTGCACATAATTTTTTTGCCCTGGTTCTCAAAGGAGCACCTGGAGATGTTGCTTGGTGCTCATCCATAAAATGAAATAAACCGTAACTTTTGAGGGGGTTTTGACTTTATTTGCCAGACACACGGCACTGAACACACAGAGGTGAACACTGAACACACATGCAGAGGTGAACACAGAACACACATGCAGAGGTGAACACAGAACACACATGCAGAGGTGAACACAGAACACACATGCAGAGGTGAACACTGAACACACATGCAGAGGTGAACACAGAACACACATGCAGAGGTGAACACAGAACACACATGCAGAGGTGAACACAAGACAACATTAGCACGACCAGTAATCCTACAAGCTGTCATCACTACCCTCCTGACTGTTCTCCTCACTGTCTTCCTCTCTGTCAGACATGGTAGCTGATGATGTAGGCCTACTTCTTTCTCTCTGGTTGAGTCTGCGATTAGCTGCTTGCATCCACAAGTCAACAGCTGGGTTTGGGTCGAAAGTCTCTGTTGTCATCTTAGACAAGAGGATGTAATCAAATAAGTATGTGAACATAACCAATAACCTACCATAGCCAATAACAAATGAATGTAACTTATTTTATTTGTGTTGTTCATTCATATCTTATTTTACCTTAACATTTATTTATTTATGCATTTTTTTTTATCTCTCCAGTTTTAAAGGATATTTTTGGTTACTGTCCTATAGTATACATTGGAATGATTTCAAACCTGTTTATCCCAATAATTATAAAGGAGTGCCTTGGAAATATGTGTTTACATAAATTGTGACCAAACCGTTTGAACTTAGACTAAAGTGAACTATCTAAACACTCAGAGTCCTTTACCTCACTGAGCTGTAGTTATCAGCCTCTCAGTCTGACTGGAGAGGACTCTCCCTCCACATTATTGTAGACACATCTTCTTCTTATATCCGTTAGAGCAGCTAGCACCAGATTCTAATAACAACAGCGCCGGTACCAGGCGGTGCACCCTTCTCTCTCTCCCTAGCTCACTCGCACTTTGGCTGTGAGCTGCGGGCGCCAGATAAGCAAACATCCCCCATTTTAATCACTTACAGCGCCCATCGTATAGGGCAAATGAAACGTGTAACCGGGGTGAAAAGGGTGTTACATTTACTTAATTATGAATATTGTTACATCAAGGCCGAAAATTAGGATGAACCCCAACGGTCAAAATGTTTTTTTCCCTCCCAGAGCTGCCAGCGCAGCGCCTCCACAGATCTGGCGCCCTAGGTGAACATCTAAAACGCCAGTGCCACGGGCCGGCCCTGAGTTCATATGCAACTCGCAAATATCTTTCTCTCTTTCTCTCTCCCTCTTCTCCCTCTCTCTCTCCCTCTCTCTCTCTCTCAATGTTGGTGCGCAAATGCGCCTTTTATCAAATGACCCGGTGCTCTTTTTTTGGCGGAGGTGCGCATGCGCACCTGCGCAACAGTTATGTGCAGCCCTGGGTATAGGACTATCAAACTTGATCAACCGGCATGGATTGATGGGGGGGGGGGCTATGAGTAGACAAGAGGAGAAGAGATGAGTTTTGAAAAAGGACTAGAATACTGTGAGGGTCTCAGAATAGCGGAGATCTTTGCATCAATATGTTCAAAACGTTTTTTTTTCAAAACGTAATTTTTTTTTCTAAAATTATAAATAGTGAAAAATTAAATAGAAAATATTTCTAGTGTGAACCAAAATATAATACAAGGGATTTTTCTTAACCAAAATGACAAAAATGGCATAAACACACATATTATTCTAATACGGGTCCTTTTTGACCCACTTATGGAAGAGTGTAGGGTCCAGTCACTCTAAGGGCATCTAAGGCAGGGGTGTCAAACTCAATTTAATCGCGGGCCACATCAGCATTAGGGCTGCACTCAAAGGGCCGGTTGTAACTTTAAGACTATATCAAAATACATATATAAATATATATATAAAATAATGTATTATATTACATGATTGCCTCTGCATTGGATTATTATCAGATCTTCATAACTAACTACGTCTGAAAGCAGAAGTCTAGGACAAATAATTGCTCTAATTGTCTCTTCAGTGAGAATGTCACAAAATGATTTAAAAAGAAAAGCCACATTCTGGAAAAAAGTCACAAAAAAAAAAGTAACATTTTGGAAAAAGAGTCAAATTGACTATTTCCATGTCACTACTCTCTCTCCTCTCAATAAGTGATCGGGGGCGTCACTCCCCAGCTTAACCAATAACTTCGCTCTATTCTCACAAGCCTATCATAGCGCTCTGCTAACCCTTTTAAATCTGAGTCCAGGGTCAAGCTAAGCCCCTCCCCTTCAGACCGACCCCAATCATCCATTCACCACCACCAGTGTGTAGACCCCGGGGGGTTTCATCGGATCGGTTCTCCCCTCCCGAATGATACTCCTGCACAACGGGGCCTAGTCGCCAAAACTCCATTACATTCATTTGTGTGTTCCTGGCAATAAATATGTGTTCTTACATCAAAACCATCTCTCCTGATTGAACTGCTGTAACCTCGTATTAGTGTTATGACAAACTTTTGAATACATTTGACATAGAAAGTGGACTGGGTACTTTGTCTCCCAGCATCTAATCTTATCTCTGCCAGCATGGACAAAATAACCATCACAACATCTATGTCTTTCACAGTAAATATGAGGATGTCAGTGTAAACACATGATGAGACAGTGAGTGGCTCACCTGCACCACCTGAGGAAGTCCTCCGCAGTCTGCCATCTAATCGAGAGACAAAGAAGATGGTGAGCACACGGCTCCTCTAAATGTACAAACTACGGTTTCCATCCTTTACTTCGTGATGAAAATAAGCATTCTTCTAAACTGAAACTAAATAAAAAGTATTTTCTGGGATTGAAAAACTGAACTGAACCAACATTATCTTTGTAAAGGTAGTTTAATACTTCTTAGACATTATACCTGACACTGACAAAAACAACATTAAACAAAAATAAATATATTATTATTATATTATAAAAAGGACTATAATCTAAAGGAGAAGAAATGCATTTTGTTCTTCTTTATCATTGAGTAATGATTGGAAGTGTGAACATCACAAACTGACGACAGCTCTGATGACAGACGAGTGACGAGAGAGACAAACAGGCACCTTGAGCAGGGTCGTCTTGGTGGGGTTCAGTCTCGAGTTACACTCCACCTGCAGAGCAGACACACACACACAGACGCACACACACAGACACATTCTTTATTTACAACATTGTGACGTCATCTACTGGCTGTTGTCAAGGAAACAGGGCAGACACTCACCACGACCTCAACAGCAGGCGACGTGTCTCCAACCACCAGCAGAGAGATACACCTGACACACACGTCAGATAAGATGTAACAGGATTGTTGGTAAAAATGTATAATTGTTAAATGAAGCGGAGAAAGGAGTAATGATACCTGAGCGTGGTGACTGTGTCTTCATTCAGACCAACGAGCGGCCGCTCCAGCGGCAACTCAGTACGGCTAACACACACACACACACACACACACACACACACACACACACACACACAAACCACACACACCCACACACACACACACACACACACACACACACACACACACACACACACACACACACACACACACACACACACACACACACACACACACCACACACACACACACACACACACACACACACACACACACACACACACACACACACACACAAACCACACACACACAGAAATGAGCTGAACACTGTAGACTTCAGAGTGGAGATGATAATACGGTTTATTTTGGCGTCTCATTGAGGTCGCCCAAAAGCTCTGCCGCAGCGTTATGAGAGCAGCGGTAATAATATTAATCAGCTCTTCCCTGAGGATTCTCTCCAGCAGCGGTGCTTAAGAGTCTGAGCTTTATTTAGCGCTGACACTGGAAGGCTTTTAGACTTTAATTTGCAGAGATGTAGTTTATCGGGAATTACTTCTAATAAAAATGCTTCAAGACTCCTTGCCTGTCTTCCTCTCTGCTGTCTTCCTCTCACCTCTCTGTCCATGCTTTCCTGTCTCACCTACATGTCTTCCTCTCACCTCTCTGTCCATGCTTTCCTGTCTCACCTACATGTCTTCCTCTCACCTCTCTGTCCATGCTTTCCTGTCTCACCTACATGTCTTCCTCTCACCTCTCTGTCCATGCTTTCCTGTCCCACCTACATGTCTTCCTCTCACCTCTCTGTCCATGCTTTCCTGTCCCACCTACATGTCTTCCTCTCACCTCTCTGTCCATGCTTTCCTGTCTCACCTACATGTCTTCCTCTCACCTCTCTATCTATGCTTTCCTGTCTCACCTACATGTCTTCCTCTCACCTCTCTGTCATGCTTTCCTGTCTCACCTACATGTCTTCCTCTCACCTCTCTGTCCATGCTTTCCTGTCTCACCTACATGTCTTCCTCTCACCTCTCTGTCCATGCTTTCCTGTCTCACCTACATGTCTTCCTCTCACCTCTCTGTCCATGCTTTCCTGTCCCACCTACATGTCTCCTCTCACCTCTCTGTCCATGCTTTCCTGTCCCACCTACATGTCTTCCTCTCACCTCTCTGTCCATGCTTTCCTGTCTCACCTACAGTGTCTTCCTCTCACCTCTCTGTCCATGCTTTCCGTCTCACCTACCTGTCTTCCTCTCACCTCGCTGTCAATTGCTTCCTGTCCTCACCTACATGTCTTCCTCTTCACCTCTATCTATGCTTTCCTGTCTCACCGACATGGTCTTCCGCTCACCTCTCTCTGTCCATGGCTTTCCTGTCCTCACCTACATGTACTGTGTCCTTCCTCTCACCTCTCTGTCCATGCTTTCCTGTCTCACCTACATGTCTTCCTCTCACCTCTCTGTCCATGCTTCCTGTCTCACCTACATGTCCCTACTCTCACCTCCTCTGTCATGCTTTCCTGTCTCACCTACATGATCTTCCCTCTCACCTCTCTGTCCATGCTTTCCTGTCTCACTACATTGCCTTCCCTCTCCCCTCTCTGTTCAGTGCTTTCTGTCTCCACCCTACATGTCTTCCTCTCACCCTCTCTGTCCATCGCTTTTCCTGTCCTCACCTACATGTCTTCCTCTCACCTCTCTGTCCATGCTTTCCTGTCTCACCTACAGGTCTTCCCTCCACCTCTCTGTCCCATCGCTTTCCTGTCACCCACCTACATGTCTTCCTCTACACCTCTCTGTCCAATGCTTTTCACTGTCTCACCTACATGTCATTCCTCTCACCTCTCTGTCCATGCTTTCCTGTCTCACCTACATGTCTTCCTCTCCACCTCTCTGTCCATGCTTTCCTGTCTCACCTACATGTCTTCCCTCTCACCTCTCTGTCCATGCTTTCCTGTCTCAACTACATGTCTTCCTCTCACCTCTCTGTCCATGCCTTTCCTGTCTCACCTACATGTCCTCCTCTCACCTCTCTGTCCATGCTTTCCTGTCTCACCTACATGTCTTCCTCTCACCTCTCTGTCATGCTTTCCTGTCTCACCTACATGTCTTCCTCTCACCTCTCTGTCCATGCTTTCCTGTCTCACCTACATGTCTTCCTCTCACCTTCTCTGTCCATGCTTTCCCTGTCCCACCTACATGTCTTCCTCTCACCTCTCTGTCATGCTTCCTGTCTCACCTACATGTCTTCCTCTCACCTCTCTGTCATGCTTTCCTGTCTCACCTAACATGTCTTCCTCTCACCTCTCTGTCCATTGCCTTTCACTGTCTCACCTACATGTCTTCCTCTCACCTCTCTGTCCATGGCTTTTCCTGTCTCACCTACATGGTCTTCCTCTCACCTCTCTGTCATGCTTTCCTGTCTCACCTACATGTCTTCCTCTCACCTCTCTGTCCATGCTTTCATGTCTCACCTACATGTCTTCCTCTCACCCTCTCTGTCATGCTTTCCTGTCTCACCTACATGTCTTCCTCTCACCTCTCTGTCCATGCTTTCCTGTCTCACCTACATGTCTTCCTCTCACCTCTCTGTCCATGCTTTCCTGTCTCACCTACATGTCTTCCTCTCACCCTCTCTGTCCATGCTTTTCCTGTCCCCCACCTAACATGTCTTCCTCTCACCTCGTCTGTCATGCTTTCCTGTCTCACCTACATGTCTTCCTCTCACTCTCTGTCATGCTTTCCTGTCCTCACCTACATGTCTTCCTCTCACCCTCTCTGTCCATGCTTTCCTGTCTCACCTACATGTCTTCCTCTCACCTCTCTGTCCATGCTTTCCTGTCTCACCTACATGTCTTCCTCTCACCTCTCTGTCCATGATTTCCTGTACCCCACCTACATGTCTTCCTCTCACCTCTCTGTCCATGCTTTCCTGTCTCACCTACATGTCTTCTCTCTCACCTCTCTGTAATGCTTTTCCTGTCTACCTACATGTCTCCTCTCACCTCTCTGTCATGCTTTCCTGTCTCACCTACATGTCTTCCTCTCACCTCTCTGTCCATGCTTTCCTGTCTCACCTACATGTCTTCCTCTCACCTCTCTATCCATGCTTTCCTGTCTCACCTACATGTCTTCCTCTCACCTCTCTGTCATGCTTTCCTGTCTCACCTACATGTCTTCCTCTCACCTCTCTGTCCATGCTTTCCTGTCCCACCTACATGTCTTCCTCTCACCTCTCTGTCCATGCTTTCCTGTCTCACCTACATGTCTTCCTCTCACCTCTCTGTCCATGCTTTCCTGTCCCACCTACAGTCTTCCTCTCACCTCTCTGTCCATGCTTTCCTGTCTCACCTACATGTCTTCCTCTCACCTCTCTGTCCATGCTTTCCTGTCTCACCTACATGTCTTCCTCTCACCTCTCTGTCCATGCTTTCCTGTCTCACCTACATGTCTTCCTCTCACCTCTCTGTCCATGCTTTCCTGTCTCACCTACATGTCTTCCTCTCACCTCTCTGTCCATGCTTTCCTGTCCACCCTACATGTCTTCCTCTCACCTCTCTGTCCATGCTTTTCCTGTCCCACCTACATGTCTTCCTCTCACCTCTCTGTCCATGCTTTCCTGTCTCACCGACATGTCTTCCTCTCACCTCTCTGTCATGCTTTCCTGTCTCACCTACATGTCTTCCTCTCACCTCTCTGTCCATGCTTTCCTCTCTCACCGACATGTCTTCCTCTCACCTCTCTGTCCATGCTTTTCCTTGTCTCACCTACATGTCTTCCTCTCACTCTCTGTCCATCTTTCCTGTCTCACCTACATGTCTTCCTCTCACCTCTCTGTCCATGCTTTCCTGTCCCACCTACATGTCTTCCTCTCACCTCTCTGTCCATGCTTTCCTGTCTCACCTACATGTCTTCCTCTCACCTCTCTGTCCATGCTTTCCTGTCTCACCTACATGTCTTCCTCTCACCTCTCTGTCCATGCTTTTCCTGTCTCACCTACATGTCTTCCTCTCACCTCTCTGTCCATGCTTTCCTGTCTCACCTACATGTCTTCCTCTCACCTCTCTGTCCATGCTTTCCTGTCTCACCTACATGTCTTCCTCTCACCTACATGTCTGTCCATGCTTTCCTGTCTCACCTACATTCATCATGACCATCATCATCCTTTCTTTCCCCTTACTAATACATTTAACAAACTCATTTGAAAATAAAAAAAAGTGCACAAATATTTACAATGATCATGTTTTGGACGAATGTTCGCTATGAAGGTCTGTCAACATTGGCCAAGAGGATCAACACACTCATTCTTAATAAATACATGTGGAAAAATATTTGAATTTCTGTTAGATGCTTTCAAAAACCGGAGGAATTCGGTGAAGATTATTAATGTCCTTAAAGTTTAAATCACAAAAACTATTAATTGCAACATAACAAACAAGCTTGGTTTGGCTAATTTAAGCTTGTATTGCTACAAACCAGGCCTACATACCACCAACAAAAACCAATAACAATCTGATAAAGGGCGGCCATGTCTCGGGGTGTTTGTTTTATAACCCTCGCTCCACATCCACTCTGACTAATTAAAGTAAAGATAGCAAAGTTTACAGGTTCGTAGAGACGTTTATATAGCAGTGGCCTGAGTGTACAATAGTGTATGTAAGAGTAACGGAGCCTACACACGGCGGCGTGCGTTGCCGCTTCAACGCTTCTGCCCATTCACTTTGAATGGGGTGACGTCACGATTCGCCGAACTGCATTGTGGGAGCAAAGCGTAACTTCTCTCGCGGTGCTCGCTGCAAAAGTAGAACAATGTTCTACTTTTGCCGCCTCGACGGAGGCGTCAGCCAATCAAATCCCGCGTATGCAAATCTGACATTACAAGCGCTAGCCAATCAAACCGCGTGTATGTTGGGAGAGCCAGACCGCAGTTATTTCCCATATGTAAAAAAATGGAGGAGAAAAAGATCGTGGCGGTACTATATGACCAGTCCCTCTTTACATACATGGATACAAACCGGAGGAGCCAGGCATGGGGGGAGGTGGCAGAGACAGTGGGTGAAACTGGTAGGTTTTCACCTGTTTGGGGAGTTTATATCCAGTGTACTTCGTTTGAATGGACAGCTAGCAAGCATAGACAGTATATTTAGCCAGCATGGATGTAGCATGAATGCTTTGCTTTGTATGTCCGGGGCGGGACATTCATGGGATTGGTTGTTGGTCGCGTTGTTCGTAAAAAATCCCCAAGCTTCAGACACGCCCACCGCCAAGCGGTAACGCACGCCGCCGTGTGTAGGGGCCGTAAGGCTATCTTGAGGAAATTTCAAACTTATCAAGTGTTACATAACCTGTAATATTGTGTTCCCTGACCCTACATTTAATCAATCCTAATGAATTGC